GCCAAGGCCTCGCCCGCCGCGAGCGTGTGCGCCGTCGGCCGCGAGCGCGTGCTCCGTCCGCCGCTTGCGCCACACATCGCTCCGCCCAGCCCGCGCCACCCGCCGCTCTTCCCCGCCGGCCGGCGTGCCCCGCCACCTGCGCCGCCCTCCCTCCTAGCCGAGCCGCCTGCTCGCCTCGGCCATGGCGGCCGCCATCGTGCCAAGGCCTCGCCCCGCCCCGCTCGGCCCTGTCGACCGAGCCCCCGCCTTTGCACCTCGTGTACGCTATCGACGGGGAGACCAGCGCCGAAGAGGTGCTTCGCCGGGGCGCCGCTCTGCCCCGCCGGAGAAGAGCGTGGAGTACATACGAGGTGTTTGAGGAAATGCCAGAGAGAGAGGAGGAGGAGGAGGAAGAAGATTCATGCTGATATGTGGGCCCATCCTGTCAGAAAAGCGTTTAGAAGAGGCCAATCGGGCACTTTTCTGAGATGGTAGTTTTTAGTCAAAGATTAATCAAAAAGTGATAGTTTTTGGCACAAATTTGTAAAGTGGTAGTTTGTAGGCACGGTTCCGCGAAATGTGGTAGTTTTTTGTTAAATACTCCAAACATCCAAACAAGCAAAAACATTTGTCGAAAAAATGGTATGATGGGTATTGAATTGGCCAGCATCTAAGCATGCCCAAAAAATATTACCTGGTGATGAACTAGATTTTCACTTGAAATGGGTGGATTCCTACCGAAGTTTGAAGAAATTCATTAAAATATGAATTGTATTGAGTCTGGCTTGAACTCGTGTGTCAGGCGAATATTTTGACAGATAGTCAAAAAATTTATCCTATTGATGAATTCAGGTACCTCGCCGTGTTCATGGCTGGGTTCGCGGTGGTGATCTTCATGTTCTTGGGGTCGGCGCAGCGTTTCAGCACGCGGCCAGAGCCATGCACGTACGACCCGGCGCGGCTGTGCCGGCCGGCGCTAGCGAACGCGGCCTTCAGCATGATCGCGTTCCTCCTGGGCGCGCTCACCTCCGTCATGTCCGGGTACCTCGGGATGCGCGTGGCGACGTTCGCGAACGCGCGCACGGCGCTCGAGGCTCGCCGCGGCGTGGGGCGCGCCTTCGTCGTGGCGTTCCGGTCTGGCGCCGCCATGGGCTTCCTCCTCGCGTCCAGCGCGCTGTTCGTCCTCTACGTCGCCATCAACCTCTTCGGCGTCTACTACGGCGACGACTGGGGCGGGCTGTACGAGTCCATCACCGGCTACGGCCTCGGCGGCTCGTCCATGGCCCTCTTTGGCCGCGTCGGCGGCGGCATCTACACCAAGGCCGCCGACGTCGGCGCCGACCTCGTCGGCAAGGTGGAGCGCAACATCCCCGAGGATGACCCTCGCAACCCCGCGGTACGTACTGAGAATTACTACCAAAGTTGAAAAAAATACTCCATGTTTTCCATGCATGTCCCTGACCCTGAGACGATCGATGCTGTGCGCGTGCAGGTGATCGCTGACAACGTGGGGGACAACGTCGGCGACATCGCCGGGATGGGGTCGGACCTGTTCGGGTCGTACGCGGAGTCGTCGTGCGCGGCGCTGTTCGTGGCGTCCATCTCGTCGTTCGGGACGGAGCACAACTTCGCGGCGATGATGTACCCGCTGCTCATCAGCGCCATGGGCATCGTGGTGTGCTTGGCCACCACGGTCGTCGCCACCGACCTCGCCGAGGTGAAGACCGTCGAGGAGATCGGGCCGGCGCTCAAGCGGCAGATCCTCATCTCCACCGTGCTCATGACCGTCGGCATCGCCATCGTCAGCTTCCTCGTCCTGCCCCACAGCTTCACCCTCTTCGACTTCGGCAGGCGCAAGCTCGTCAAGAACTGGTACGCCAACTCGATCTGAGACTCGATCTCGTCGTACTACGCCATTTTCCTTGAGATCCTCAATTTAGTACAAAATGCAAATTGATACACTTTTATATTCATGAACAATTATCGATGGATTTGACATTTGGTTTTGTATGACTTTGCGAATGCAGGTACCTGTTCATCTGTGTGTCCGCCGGTTTGTGGGCAGGTCTTGTCATCGGCTATGTCACAGAGTACTTCACAAGCAACGCTTACAGGTAATAGAAATTATACAACTTACAAAAATTGCACGAACTTGAGCTAAGACGGGATAGATGCTGATTACTTAATCTCTGCTTAAATTGTTCGACGCATGTATATGTAGGCCGGTGCAGGCGGTGGCGAACTCATGCCGGACGGGAGCGGCGACGAACGTGATCTTCGGGCTAGCGGTGGGATACAAGTCGGTGATCGTGCCCATCTTCGCCATCGCGACAGCCATCTACGCCAGCTTCCGCCTCGCCGCCATGTACGGCATCGCGCTGGCGGCGCTGGGCATGCTCAGCACCATCGCCACGGGGCTCAGCATCGACGCCTACGGCCCCATCAGCGACAACGCCGGCGGCATCGCCGAGATGTCCGGCATGCCGCACGTGGTCCGCGAGCGCACGGACGCACTCGACGCCGCCGGCAACACCACCGCCGCCATCGGCAAAGGGTTCGCGATCGGGTCGGCGGCGCTGGTGTCGCTGGCGCTGTTCGGCGCCTACGTGAGCCGCGCCGGGGTCGCGGCGGTGGACGTGCTGAGCCCTCGGGTGTTCGCGGGGCTGCTGGTGGGGGCCATGCTGCCCTACTGGTTCTCGGCGATGACCATGCGGAGCGTGGGGAGCGCGGCGCTGGCGATGGTGGAGGAGGTGCGGCGGCAGTTCGACAGCATCCCGGGGCTGATGGAGGGCACGGCCAAGCCGGACTACGCCACCTGTGTCAAGATCTCCACCGACGCGTCGCTCAAGAAGATGCTGGCGCCCGGCGCGCTCGTCATGCTCAGCCCGCTGGTCGCCGGCACGCTGTTCGGCACCGAGACGCTGGCCGGGCTCCTCGCCGGCGCGCTGGTGTCGGGAGTCCAGGTGGCGATCTCAGCGTCCAACAGCGGCGGCGCCTGGGACAACGCCAAGAAGTACATCGAGGCCGGCGCGTCGGCGGAGGCGCGGGCGCTGGGGCCCAAGGGGTCGGACGCGCACAAGGCGGCGGTCATCGGCGACACCATCGGCGACCCGCTCAAGGACACCTCCGGCCCGTCGCTCAACATCCTCATCAAGCTCATGGCCGTCGAGGCGCTCGTCTTCGCGCCATTCTTCGCCGCGCACGGCGGCCTCATCTTCAAGCACCTCTGAGTTTGAATTCCGAGTTCGCTCGGCTTGCTGCCTGGACCTGGATGGCCAAGCAGAAGGCTTTCGTTGCCAATAATAACCTCTAGACTGGGAGAATTGTATGAGGTGATGAATGGTTAATGGTTACTTTAGTTTCGGACTTTATTCGAGTGCAAACCCGCCTTAGAAATAAGCTCGTGGTGTAGCAAATAGTCACTCTTAAGGCATGACTTCTAAATGCAGCATGGATGCTCGTCTCCGGGCCTTCAGCAGAGTGCCATCACCGTGAGGCTGTGTTTGGCGCCGGTGGATTATCTTAATCTTGCTTGTTTAATCTCTCTGATTTACTTCCTCCGTCCCATAATATAAGAACATTATGGAACGGAGGGAGTATCATTTAGCTAACCAACTTTTTTCTTATTTTCCCACCAAATTGGCTACACAGATTACAGTGTTAGCTGCTGGATGTTCATCTTCTACCCACGCAGCCGCCCATCTACCCCGGCCCAACCGCCTGCCTCCGCCTCGTCATCCTCTGAACCTCCCCCTACCGCCATTGCTTGCCGCCTGCCACAACCATCCACCTAAAGACCCCCCACCAGGCCACCACCACCACCTGCATCAACTCACAACCCTCACACCCGTCAAGTTTCAGAGTCACAGTCTCGCCGTTGCCGGCACTCCTCAGAGTCCCCGTCTTAGGTCTCGCGCAAAGCCGAAATCGACCGACACTCAAAAATCAGGTACCTCACGTTTAGCAAACGCAGGAAAAAAAAACAGGTAATGATGTGCTCAGAGAAATGGCCTAGGATTAATTCAATTGAAATCCCCAAATCATGAGACAGCCGCACCGGAGTGGCAAACCAGGAAACAGCGTATGCACAGCGCATAGCCCGTGTTACATAGACACCGTACTACCAGAAACTAGATTGCTAGACTACCATCAATTTGGACTTGCAAAGTAGAGCAAGCTATTGTGAACCATTCTAATATCTACCGGCAGTTTTACAAGATAACAGCTCATCTGCCTTTCATTCCACATGGGTGGAAGCTTCTAGCAAAGGGCACATTCCACGCCCCTGCTTAATGTCATATTGTCCATACTAGACTAATGCAACCAAAAATTCCTATGTTGCCGTGACGAAAGCTGCGCTCATTCTCAGCTTCAGGATCTATTCCTGAAGATCAATTTTACACGTTCAGTCGATATCACATCCAAGATATATATATGGCTGTGCCCAAAGCTGTCTCACTTCCAGTCAAGCTTGCGGGCTTGAAGTTTAGCATATTATGGATCTAGCCTTCTTTGGAGCCAAACGTGATTCCTTATCCTTGTAGCTGCAAGGAAAGACCGGGTTGAGGCCAATTGATGGAGAAAAATGACTCATCCTGCTGTAGAAGGCTCAGAGTCGGTTGTTTTTGTTGTATCCTCAGCATCTTTCATACAGTCGTCTCCAGTTTGATGGCCAGAATCCAGGCTTTCCAGGGCATGTTGTTGTTGATCTGGAGAGCCTGGGCTTGCCTTCCCTACATCATCGTTGCCGTCAGAATTTTTTATGCTTGAAGCAGGTGAGAGTGGTGACTGATTATCTTCTAGCTTGGGCTTCTTTAGAATATTCCCATCTGCATCTTTGCTGTCCAATGAACTTGGGCTCGCCATGGGTATATTTAAGGCTTCATCGGCTTTTACGGGTCGCTTGGGAGATGGCTTATAATCTTTGTCGGAGTCATTATCCACAAGACCACCAGATTTAGGCCTGAAAATGCAAGAGATGAATGAAACACAAGAAACGAAGTATGTTTAAGAGTACAGAAATTACATGATTAGTACAGAAAATAGGACCCAGAAAAATTGCCGAGTTATCATCAACGTGAACCAGTAAAAGACAGCACATTAATCTTAAACACAGTACAGCTGGTAATATCCCCAGTTGTCGAAGATGAGATACCTTGCAGGGATGTGATGGATTTCACTTCCATTAGCTGGCTTAACCAGGCATTGTTGATGTGCATGTCTGGTCTGTGCAGCAGAATCTTCTTCATTGCTAAAGGTAAAACAGAAATTTCACGTGGGTTCAGTAAACAATGCAACATCAAGAGTTACAAAAAATGGAACATCTGGAATCCAATCAACCCAGCAACATAAAATAAGCAGCAAATGAGGAAATAAACTTAAGACCTGTCTTTACTGAAATAATCTTCCTCTTCCTTATCAAGACCTCTTTCATCTGCCTTTCTCGTATGATCCACACTGGTAGTTTGCGTTTCCTCAGCAATATCCACGTACTAGCAGGAAACAAAATACCATCATTGTTCATGTCAATAGTACATGGTATACTAATGCCTAACTTGCTAGAGTGACAAAATTGACAGTAATGGCAGAATGCGAGAACAGACAAAGTCTCAACTCTCCACCTCTTGATACTTGAGTTTGAAGGCCTGAATGCTTGTCAGTTGTTCAAACATCAAAAGTTGATCCCAAAAAGACTCAACAACATATACGACGAGGGATTTTAGATTTTCCTGTTCACAAAAATGCATCAGATGGCAAAGCCCAGTAGATAATGGTTTTCCTTTTTTGGAGAGACAAATATTTTTTCCCATACTCGATAACATGTACATGTCAATGGATAAGGATGTACCTTTCTTATGAAGTCCAACAGTTCGAGGACCATGGAGTGTAGCATGTTGTATCTATTCCCATTTTCAACAAATACTTCAATAATTGGTTTCAACGTGTTGAATTCAATGACATGGCTAATTAGAAGCTCGTCCTAGAGAACACAGCAAAAAAAACATCTCAAATTAAGATATGACAAGAACATTGCAGTTAGGATATGCTTGCTGGCTGGTAGGCCTATTCTCTAACGATCAGCGATATAAGGTGTACCACACAGTTTTGCTAAAAGAAGCAAGCAACATGATTGACAGACATGTTTACTATTGCCTCCGACGAAGGAAGCTAAATCCTCATCTTGGAATCATCAGTCCTTTTATTCGGCTTTATACCATGCTGTGCTGCACCAGCTGGTACACTTGTGCGTAAAGGGCGGATTCAACTATACAAATCAAGAGAGATTTGCCTTCACTAGTAAAAGTCGCCACCGCTGTTAAATATTTTAAGCTACAAACGACTCTTTTTTGCAGTAATAAGATATGGGGTGCATGTGATGCATATAAGCAAACAAGCATAGGTGTATGATAAACTCGCATGTGGATCATTGGATGAAAGATAGGTTGGATTTGGGTGGTCATGATACTCAACTCTTGAGGACGTGGGAACAATCATAAATATGTTCAGCATGTGAGTGGGTTAATTAAGAAGTTGTCAGTTGTGCTGCAATAATTACATCCCGGTGAATCTGATCCATTATCCAGTGGTCAACATGGAATGCTTGCTAGACTGTATCTAGTTTTAAGTTGGCAGTCATAATGTAGTCAAGAAGGACCAATAGACTTAGTAGTGCGCAGAAGAACCAAAATTTCAATTATATAGTGCTTTTCCTGGATGTAAAGAGCCCTCAATGATGCAATGCTTAATTTATTTATGGGACAAAGTAAATTTCTTACATTTCTGCAAGCACCAATAATAGTACGCATGATTCGGACAGCTGCCACAACCAAAGACCTCTCTCTTCGACGGGTTAGAGTAAGGATCTTCTCCATTGAATTGCTTCCAAAAAAGGTGATCCTGCAAGATTGAGAGCCGCGTGTTAACAAAGACGCCAAAAAAAATGAACAGCTGGGGGGGTGGACCGGTGCGACCGAGCATTACTTGATCTTGTAGGGGTGATGACGTGCACAAAAGCATAAGAGCTCACAAATGTTATACAATATTTCAAGCTTCGCAGAATATTCTTCAACTCTTGACGATTCTATTATATTGATCAACTTATCAAAACACTTCTCATAAAATAGCTCGATGAAGTCTCTCTGCAACAGGACAGAGACAAAAATTTCATACCACAATCTAGTTAAACACAAGCATTTGAAAAAATGTAATATTTTGTAATGACCACAAAGCTCATATTGGCTTCTATAAAACAAACATATTAGCTACGTGCATCTACTCATAAACCAAAATGAAGATCAAAAGCATTGGAGAGCAGAGGGGCAGAAACATGAGAAAAACACTATTTCTCGAAGAGATTCATCATACCAAGGATGTGCATTACATAATGTCCTTAATACAAATCATTCCTAAAATCAGGAGATTATACATTTAGAGAATGACAAAAGTACATGATATAAGCTAAAGCATCTTACACATTGTGTAACCGTATCCGCAGTACATCCATCCAGCAGCACCTTCAGAATTTCCAGAAACTGGCAGAGCATTTCGCCACCGAAGTCAGTTGCAATGCCTTCAATCTGAAATTTGATTAACTGTTAGCAGTATCCACAATTATGCTAGAGAAGGCAATTTGAGTTTTGCTAAAAGGATATTCTGAAAAGCATCAGACAAAAAAGCAATCACCTGATAAAAATAACACAATGAACAGGAAAAGGCAAACAGTTTGCATGGATTCGAAGAAGAAGAAAAGAAGATATGCCAAGCAAATACACAATTCAATGTCCAAATGCTCCACTAAAATGTAAGATACTCGCAGTTCACAACAAATGGACAGGACATACCCACAATACAAGAAGGTGCCATGATTTAGGGTGCATTTGGATCCAAAGCTAGATTACACTATTTCTAGCCTTAGCTGGCCAGACCTGTTGTTTTGTAGCAGCACAATGACATTAGCTTTGCCAGGAGAGAGAGAGAGAGAGCAGTTGGGGCACGGAAAACCTTGCCAAGGTAAGAGAGCACAATTGGCTCTCCCTCGACACAAGCTTGAACAGACCCAAGAACACGATGGCTTTACAGGAATGTAATTCACTGCTTGGACCAAAAGTACTGCAACAAATCTGTACGGAGACCAAAATTCACTTACCAGAAGCCCAAGAAGAGAAATGCCTTCTCTAGAACTTTCCTCGTGGTTTGCAATATATGATCTCAGTAAGTTAGGATCTTGAGTAAGATAATGTAGGATGTCTGTCCTGCATTTGCCCAAAAAATGGTGAGACTTAAAAGAATAAGATACAGAAACAACCAAAGAAGAATTCATTCACTGCGCCAGAAGTTACCCAGCTGAGACAAGCACTTTTTCCTGACTCCGCAGCACATCAGAAATTATATCAAAGACACCTCGACTTGCTAGATCCCTGAATAGAGAAACACGATTAGTAAACTACTACAACAGTCTCTAATGATACAGCTTACAAGAAATTGTACTTGAATGATGTTTAGTTAAAATTGACTAAACTGCTCGAGAGGCATGTCTGCATTGCATCAAAAAGGCAAGATAATGATCAAAACACAAACGAGAGGTCAATAGTGTTCCCTTTACGTACATATGCACTATATCCTTTAGCACATCCATACAGTATACTATCAAAAACAATATGTACAATAATAATTTTGGCATAAAGCGTATCGCTAGCAGAGAGTAAACACTCCTGCAAAAAAAAAGCAGAGAGTAAACACAACCCGTAGAAGCGTTGGCTTGTCATAAGTCATCATGTAACTGAAAGGGCTGCAGTCATACACACAGGAATAACTGACAAATGGACAGCATCACCCTATAACCAACAAAAGCTAAGATTGTAATATACATTTACCACGAGACTTGGCGACGAATGTGGAACAGAAACCTACTACTAGTATTAGTTATGTTTATCTATCTAAGAATGGGCTTGACAGAGAAGTTATTATAACAAGTGTGAGCCGATCTAGAGGGAGAGAAAGGAAAATGGAAAAGCTGATCCAACTATTTGCTTATTACATCCATAAAATGCTGCCACGAATACCCACCAACTAACAAAGAAAATTTTGCCACGACCATGAACAAAAACCTAGATAATGTCAAGAGAGGCGGGGTAGACCAAAACTTGACATGGGAGGAGTCCGTAAAGGGAGATCTGGAGGACTGGAATATCAACAAAGATTTAGCCATGGACAGGGGTGTGTGGAAATTAGCTATCCATGTGCCAGAACCATGACCTGGTTTCGGTATCTTACGGATTTTAACTCTAGTCTACCCCAACTTGTTTGGGACTGAAAGGCGTTGGTGTTGTTGTTGTTGTTTTTGTTGTCAATGATGAACAAAACCTGATCGAAATGACCATGAATACAGTGTGGCAGGCCCCCAGGTAATATCGTGATAACTGCGATAAATTCCAACAAAACAAAGAAAGAAATTCTGAAGTGCGCAAGAGAAAATACATCATTCATATACCAACCTAGATAGTTGCATTCGTTGAGCAGGCTGCAGACTTGAGCTGACAGTACAAAACTCACGCAGAAACAAGACCTGCAAAGAACAAAATGTTATCCATGTAAATGGCATACAAAAGGAGAACCATTGCTGAATTGAGCGTACACTGGCACGCCACACCCCCCCCAACACACACAATGATATATAATTTCAACATAAAGAACTAGCAGATTGACTAGAAAGGTAATAAGGTACGTAGTACAAAGATACTTTTGGAGCAACTTAGTGCAAAGATTCATAGTCCACACTCATATCAACTCCCAAATGATGGAAGCCAATGCTCAGCAGAGCTCAAATATATTTTCCAATCTAATTTACGATAGTCACGCAACAGTACATGATGAACAAATAAACTACTTCATCTAGACGCTAGCATCATCAAACACATCCTTGGGTTCATGGTTTGTTTCATTTCCTCTAAGTGCCAACTGCCTACAACACATCATGGAACTACTGTGATCCATGAAAGGAATGAACATTCATTAGCCTTTCTTCTTTTCTGGCAGTTCAACAATTGCAACTGAATAGTTCAAACAAGGTTAACAGAACAGATCATAATATAATATAGCCATCATGACTACTATAATCATACATTCTTGCAGGTTCTATACAGAAGGGTGTATCTAAAGAAATAAACAACGAAATGAAATGCTAGTTTCACCAGTTCTCTTTTTGATTCAGCGGAAATATTTGAAGACCTCATAGTAGCAAACAGTCTTTGCATAAAAGAAGTGTCATCCTTCAGTAGACAAACAACCTACAGGAGAATCATAGAGTCCAAAATTACAGAAGGAAATTTTTGTTTAAAGCACGTGAAAACTTGGTATAGTTGAAACACTAACAAAAGCATTGTTCGCATTAATAATTGCGTTAAGGCTTGCCAGAGTAGCTTCATCCAGTCCTTTCGGTAATATAACATCCTGTAGATGACAGGCACTCCGGTTTGAAATAATTAGCACAAAAGTTGGCAACAGAGATCAAATAAACAAAAACTCTAGATGGCGGGGGCAGGGTGGTGCAGCAGAGCACTGACCTTTATATAGCATATTCTGTATGTTTGATGAATCTTTGAAACCACAGAAGCATTTCTAATGGGTATGGCCTATGAGAGAGAAAGCGTCACCTAAAATCATTACAACTCAAACAGTTTAAGATGCATAAAAGATGACACTCGATTTACCTCCTTGAAAACTGCATGCTCCTTCAGGAAAGCACTATGATTTTGCACATTACGATCCTCTGGATCGTCTGTATAGATCAGGACTCGTTAATAAATAAGTAAAGAACAGTGCATGTAGCTCTACAGGTATGTCATTGTGTAGAACACAGCAGAGTTTATAATTTACTGATGTAAAGCACAACTGAGAGGTACAGGGTATAGTGTTTACATTCAAGGACACCAATTATGTCAAGAATAAAATCATCGGAGAAAATCTTGTCAAATATAGCAGCACTGTTCAATAATACTGCACAATCAGAAAAAATGTAAGTAGCAAGCTGAAATAATCTTTGCTGAAGCTTACTAAGTACTATGTACTTACTGATTGCCTTGACTAATCTGAAGATCTTGTGGAGACCATCCATGTCCCCTAAACCCTTGCATGTTCTGAAAAGGTCCACTATCTTGGGGAAAAAATCACGCTGTAACATGTTGTATTAGTGAAACAGATAAGTTCAAAACATCACGGTATACATACATAAATAAATCAAAATTCAGAAAACCTTGTGTGCAGATGCAATTTGTTGACAGTCTAGTTAGCTACATTCATTCCTCATACCAAAATAAAAGCATTCATTGTCTAGTTTCTACTATACATATGGGGGCTGATTGCACCTACATTGTGCAAGTATGAGAGGATTTTGCGATGAAATTTACACATATAAATTGATTCTATGAAGATATGAAATCCAAGACTTAAAGCTGTGTATATTAAGGCATGTGCCCATTTGAAAATCAGGTTCAAAGTTAAAATATATTAAAAGAGAAAGGAAGCACATATTAAGGTATGTGCCCATTTGAAAATCAGGTGCGAAGTAAAAATATGTAAGAGGAACTTTCTGGCTTTTGGAAGATTTTGTGAAAGCTGACAAACATTTGGAGGATGAATACTTGAAAAACTTATTAGTCTTAAATCTCATCAGCTAATTGCATGATTCATAATTCATTTTTCCTTTGATATCTTGTGAATCAGCCGTATAAGAACAATATGTGAGTTAAACAAATTACATTTTTTATTATGTGTTTAACATTTAAAAAAAAAAACTTGATCATGTGTTGGCTCCACAGGATAAATCTCGTTGCGCTGCATTTGACTTAATATTTGCGTCAAATCTACATGTATGCACCTAACTGCAGGGAGAGAAACGTGCTACATACAGCATCATAACCACAAATAAACAAGTCAATGACTTACATCTTTCAATATTAAATCTGCGAGACGTGTCTGCTGCGTCACATCACATAGCAGTATAGTCTGTACATTTGGTGAACAATATTTCAATATTCAGTATGTAAAATATTGTATAATTTTTCAAGAAAAACGAAGGGCCTAAGGGGCGAGAAGCCCCTTGCTACAATTAATATAGAAGAATAAGACACCAGACTTTCAGTCAGGGATGGTCGAACCCTGGTGGGCTGGCTGTATAATTTTTTGAGAATAAAACATTGTATGATTCATTCTGTATGTTTACTACACGCACATTGACCAAGTTGAATCCTACAAATACATGAAGACTCCCCCATGTCCTAAATGACTTCACAATACTTTTGAGCTCCTAATATCTGATAGCAAAGTATATGATGCTTCTACTTGGCAACCGAAAAGATGTCATTAAATAAAGCATCATAAAAACACTAAGTGTTAAAAGGTTTACATGAAAAGAACACTGAAGGTTGCTCACACCTTTAAAATAACAGAGAGACTGGACAATTCAAGAGGAGGAAGTTCAAATGCTAAGGATTTACCTGCAGGTAAAGCAATAACTGATTAATATTCTAAACTTTCTAAGTGATCATCACAAATAAAAAAAAGGATCCTTAGCATGACTTCTCAATTGAATAAATAAACATAAGAATGTAATGTTTCATACAGAGCTTGTGAAATTGAATATAATGTGATCAGGCCACCAAATAATCCACTCAAGAATTAAGCAGAGTTCTTGGGGTTGTTGAATTGAAATGGTAAATCAGTTCCAATAACTCTGTACTGAACATTAGCAATACTAAAGAGATCATGTGCACATATTGCAACATAACAATCAAGAGTTAATTGTAAAGATTACTTTGATACTAAGTTATCAAATACTCCCTCCGTCCCATATTAATTGTCGCTCAAACGGATGTATCTAGACATATTTCAGTGCTAGATACATCCGTTTGAGCGACAATTAATATGGGATGGAGGGAGTACATTATAGAGCACATGTTGCACACAAGAGAATAAGTAGTTACCTACCACGCGAAAGTGAATCTCTTGGAGCTTCTAGAGATTTCACTGTTCGTTGTGGACGAACTTCATGAGCTGCAAGATATGGCAAAATAATTAGAAGGACGAATGAGAATAACCAGACAAAAAACCAACTGATTTAACAAACTCACAGCCAAGGATTTTAGATTGTAGTTCAAGCTGTATGGTACACATATTCTCCCTGCATAAAGCCATCAGAATGCAAATTAGACATGATTAAGCCACTGAAGGGAAGGGACACAGAAATAACACCATTTATTGTTGAATCACCATATGAATGAGCATGATTCGGCTTCTTGAAAGCTCAGTGCTAATTCTAGTGCCTTTTCAGGATCCCTCCATGAGATGATTGTTTCTACCAAATAAAATGGGCAAACCACTGTGTTAGGAGAAAGAAAGAAATGGCTATCAAAAAAAAAATGATAGCATGCCAGTTCACCTTCTTGTTTCCTGTAGATATCATCAGGTGTAATGTTGTGAAGCAGCAGAGTGTCATTATCCTCTTCATCCACGACAGCAAGAGCGAGATCTTTTGATCCCTAGGTAAGAAAAAAGCTAAGAAAGTAAATCTCGAATGACAAACAATAACGCTTAAAAAGAAAAATCTTGTCACCAACACTGCTTCATGCCTTACTTTTTTCTCAGTGATAAACAGACCAAACTTCACTGTCATGTAGGGATGCAAGCGGGTCGGCCCAATTGGCCACTTTGGTGTTAACTTAAATGGTGGTCCACTTTGCATATCCTATATATCTAAATAGTTGATCCCCACTAACTCTAATTCTCTCAACATGCAACTATGTCACCATGCATGTGAAAAGACCCACCATAGAAAACACTTCACGTGCAACTATGCCAACTCACCATGGCATACCACCATGCATGGGAAAAGACACACGTTAACATACACCATGGATGATACTCATATTCAGTAAATATTCTACAACTATATAGTATAATAAAATACAATAAATTATATTATTTTAGTTTAAATTCTCATAATGTTATCCAAAAACTAATGTTTCATACAACCAAATCTCATTGAAATAATTGAACCAATTTCCACAGCAACACACAGGCGTCATCTCTAGTATACTTTAAAAATATATATCTAGCAAACGCAGGATAAGTCAATGGGTTGGCTCGGCGCACTTGCATCCCTAATGCCATCAGAGGCACTATGAATATGTGTAGTAATATTAAGCTCCCATACTGCAAATATGTTGGCCTGTTCAACTCCAATGTAATTGTACAAAATACAGAAAAACAGAAGGATGATAAAGCCATCAACAACATAGCAAAACTATCAAGATAGAAATAAAATCCAGTAATAGTGTGAATAACGACATGTACATCACCACATGCTTCTAGAAAATTTAAATTATGTGGTGCATCAGCAGAGAAACCATATATAACTAAGAAATATTGTCAAACCATACCTCTATATAGTCAATGGTTACATGACCCGTTCCCTGGTCATCCCACTTCCCATTATCTTCCAACCGGTACACTTTGACACGCTGGAGCAATTTTTAAAGTGTCAAATGTCTTAATGGCTATTGCTTATATAGCATAGCACAAAATGCATAAATAAGGGGGGATAAGATAATAAGTAGATTAACAGTTACAGGCAAAGCATATTGCACATTTGAGTGACCCAGTAAAAAACGGGCCTAGTAAATGAGGTGAAGGATACCATAGTAGTCACGCCAAGCTACTTGTAAAATCTTTACCACACACAGCAGAAAATGATGAACTGTGTGGCATCCTAATTTACCCACTCCAAAACAAACTACTGCTCTGCTATGACTCTGAAATTTCATGCTTGGGAACGTTCAACAACCTACATTTGAATAATCAAACTAATGTCTGGAAAAATACATATCAGTATATAAAGAAACTCAACCAGCACCAAGAAGGCACTAGCACCCGTGGCATTTCAATTAAGAAGATAACCATGGTCACAAGCATACCCCATGGAGACTAAGCCTCGAACACAGTGGGTCGGCACGGACCCGCGCCTTTAGCCAACAGGACGATGCTCGATTCTCTATATCAATAACGCAATACTATAACCCCCTGATTCCCTCTGCCGAAAATAAATGTGATCTACAAATTACTGGAATATAAGTCTTATGAATCTTGACCTATGATTATCCTCCTTACCAAACAGAACCGGATAAGCAGAAATCTAATCATTACAATAAGGAGATAGCAACACTTCTGTGATGGTGATTTTTAATTGAACCAAACAGAGAGCATAGTGGTCTAAATTCCTTACTCAGATCTATTTATGATCCATGGCTGTATTGCACACCAGTAGAGTAGCACCCATACACTATATCCCACTTCTGATGCTCTAATCCCGTTTAAGGCATGAAGTTTGACCTTCTTCTACAAGTAGCTATCCCAATGCAGACATCAGGTTACTAACTGACATATATTTAGATAAAACCTGATAGTTCATACAAGATCGAGCAGGTGTACATGCCATATCCTTGAAGCACGAAGCTCAAAAACAACTAAACAAACATGTTACATGCTTGCTGCTAACCAGCACCTAAGATGCTGAGCAGGAAAATTCCCTTGTGAATAACAACTCCGCAGCAGAAACGGGGTTTCTGTAAATCCTTGTTTGCAGCATAGTAAACAAATTAGCTGAAGCTTGAAATGGAACTAAAAAGTTGCTTTATACATAAAATGTGGCGTGAGCCTTTTTCGGCAAATGGAACTAAAATGTCTTGAGTAAAAACTATTCAGCAAACTGATGTTGCACCGTTCCTCTAGATATACACGAGGCGGCATACTGCATTCACGTGAATGAACTGGACACGTGAAATACCTCTGATACTCCTAATCTCCTATATGGCTATATCGAATCGAAGTATTATAATCTGTAGGTGCTGACTTAAAAAGAAAAACGATTGTATGTGCTAATTAGCAAGAGATCGTCACTTGTAGGGCTTGCTGCTGCAGAAAATCGCACAAAACATAGCGAAGACATCCTAGATTTCTCCAACCAGCCGTGCGCTTGAAAATCCCCAAAACTATGCCCACTCTACACTGTCCCAACATGAACGGAACATCGAATTACCGCCTCTCAGTTCCAGAGGAGCGACCTCGTCAATCCCAGAGCCCGCGGACTTCTAGAAACATCGGGTACCTCGAAATGGGGATCAAACGGGAGCTCCGATGACAGCCCGCGCCCCAAGCCGCAAACCGAAGGCACGGGCGCGCCAAAAAAACTGCCGCGAGTGGATCTACCGCACCAGCTCGCCGCTGGATGCTTCTAGGAACTCCGATGAGGGGCAATAAGCGGGAGGAGCTCACCTTCATGCGCGTGCGCAGCGACTCGCCCTGCCACGCCTCCTTCCTGCCCTGGCCCGGCTTCTCCCCCATCGCGGAGACCCCGCTCGCGTTCCGACGGGGGGACGGTACGGCAGCTTCTCGAATCGCGACGCGGCTAGCAGCGGGAGGAGGATGGAGGCGAAACCCTAACCGCCATTGGCGAGCTCCCTCCCCTCCCCTCGCCTCTCTTCACCTCCCTATCTCTCTCTTTCCCTCCCTCTCCCTCTCGCTCTTGTCTCTCGCTTCGCGGGGTTCTCTTTGCCTTTTCCCTATTGGCCCCCCGAACTTTCTCTCTCTCTTCGTGTAGTAGTACTGTACTACGTTTTACTCGCGGACTGGAAAAATGCAGGGTGGGAAGAGGGAAATAGGAGCCTAGGATATTTATTTGCGGTGCCGCGGGTCTTTTTTTTTTACAGTAGACAGACTTTTTTCTAAAGCAACAGATTTATTCGGACATATTGTTTACAAGTGAATGAGAAATAAAATCAGGAATTATAGATTCCCAAAACAAAGACGATTTGTCACTACGAGTTCTTAGCTAGGCTATGAGCTACTTCATTAGCTTCACGTGGGCACTGTGTGTAAGGGCCAGTTCTTTTGGATGATTCTGCTAGAATCACCCTCCTCATCAGCTTTTTTCAGAATCGTCAATAAATATGTTTTTCACAATCCTATCTAATTAGATCTTAACATAATAAAATCGTAAAAAAGTGAAGTGACGATTCTGAGAGAAGCTGGGGAAGGGGGCGATTCTTCAGAATCACCCAAAAGAACTGGCGCTAAGAAACAATTACGAAGTCTATTGCTAATTGTTTGCACTCGAGCACCATTGCAACATCTGAGCCAACATATGTATCTGGTTGTTGCACCCCTTCCACCACAAAGCTAGTATCGGACTCGATGATCATTTTGTTGCAACCGACCCTCTCTACTAGATATAGTTTGTTCTGAATTGCTCTCATCTTAGCAGAATCAATACCGACCACATGAGGAACAAACCATGTTGCAACCGCAATAAAATTTCCTCTCCAACCCCGAGCAATAGCACCAGTTGCACCAGATAAAGTTTCAGCTTAGAACGTCGCGTCGACGACTTGTCGTTGATTTTAACCACATCACTAGTCGGTTTCTTCAACATATGCTCATGGATCCTCATCGGCTATCCAGCCGTATAAGCCCGGTACAGTTCGTTGCCAAAACCTTAATAGAGATTGCAGCTCTGTTAGGGGTCTGGATTGGTTCACTTTAACATGTTGACGTTGTTGCCACCATAGGAACAAGGCGGCTACCATCATAGGTTCCGCAGCAGGCAGTCTGTCAATTACTCCATTCATCTGACACGGGATTTCAGCAGTTATAGATATTGAGCGATCATGTCGTACTGCTTCCTCTACCCTGTCCTTCACCCCTAGATCTGACCAAACCTCCATTGCTCTCTTATAGGTAAACATACAATGTTGGATGTAGGAACGAAGTATGTCTACCAGAGGGGGTGAATGGGAGTTTTAAAATTTCTTTCAGAAATCTCAAAAGCTTCGGAACCCAACAGCGGAGCGAATGAAAAACAAAGTACAGCGAGCTAAAACAAACTACCGAAAGGAAACTAAAACATGCATCGAGACAAATCACATGATCGAAAGTAAATAGGAGTAGCAGGGGTAACCAAGTGATGCTCGATGGCGACAGGGTGTTTGTTCGACCAGTTCGTCCTTCTGCACAAGGACTACGTCTGGTTGGAGGGGTTGTAACTTAACACGGAATATATGATGGAAATATGCCCTAGAGGCAATAATAAAATGGTTATTATTATATTTCCTAAATCAGGATAAAGGTTTATTATTCATGCTAGAATTGTATTGATCGGAAACTTAAATACATGTGTGAATACATAAACAAATACCGTGTCCCTAGTAAGTCTCTACTAGACTAGCTGGTTAATCAAAGATGGTTAAGGTTCCCTAACCATGGACATGAGTTGTCATTTGATAAAGGGATCACATCATTAGGAGAATGATGTGATGGACAAGACCCATCCGTTAGCTTAGCATAATGATCGTTCAATTTTATTGCTATTGTTTTTTCATGTCAAATACATATTCCTAAGACTATGAGATTATGCAACTCCCAGATACCGGAGGAATACCTTGTGTGTTATCAAACGTCACAACGTAACTGAGTGATCATAAAGATGCAGCTATCTCCGAAGGTGTTTGTTGGGTTGGCATAGATCGACATTAGGATTTGTCACTCCGAGTATCGGAGAGGTATCTTTGGGCCCTCTCGGTAATACACATCATAAGCTTGCAAGCAAATGACTAATGAGTTAGTCACGAGGTGATGTATTACGGAACGAGTAAAGAAACTTGCCAGTAACGAGATTGAACTAGGTATAAAGATATCGACTATCGAATCTTAGGCAAGTAACATACCGATGGACAAAGGGAATTACATATGTTGTCATAACGGTTGGACCGATAAAGATCTTCATAGATGTTGGGGAACGTAGTAATTTCAAAAAAAAATCCTACGCACACGCAAGATCATGGTGATGCATATCAACGAGAGGGGAGAGTGTCGTCCACGTACCCTCGTAGACCGTAAGCGGAAGCATTATGAAAACGCAATTGATGTAGTCGTACGTCTTCACGATCCGACCGATCCAAGTACCGAACACACAGCACCTCCGAGTTCAGCACACGTTCAGCTCGGTGACGTCCCACGAACTCACGATCCAGCAGAGCTTCGAGGGAGAGTTCCGTCAGCACGATGGTGTGATGACGGTGATGATGATGCTACCGACGCAGGGCTTCGCCTAAGCACCAGTACGATATGACCGAGGTGGATTATGGTGGAGGGGGGCACCACACAAGGATAAAAGATCAACGTGTGTGTCTTGGGGTGCCCCCCTGCCCCGTATATAAAGGAGCAAGGGAGGAGGCCGGCCGGCCCTAGCAGGGCGCACCAAGAGGAGGAGTCCTCCTCCTAGTGGGAGTAGGACTCCCCTTTCCTAGTCCCACTAGGAGGGGGAGGAAAGAGTGGGAGAGGGGAAAGGCAAGCCCCCCCTTCCTTGTCCTATTCGGGCTCAAGGGGAGGGGGCGCGGCCTGCCATGGCTGGCCCCTCTCTCTCTCTTCACTAGGGCCCATCAAGGCCCATTAGCCCCCGGGGGTTCCGGTAACCCCCCGACACTCCGGTAAAATCCCGATTTCACCCGAAACTATTCCGATGTCCAAATATAGGCTTCCAATATATCAATCTTTATGTCTCGACCATTTCGAGACTCCTCGTCATGTCCGTGATCATATCCGGGACTCTGAACTACCTTCGGTTCATCAAAACACATAAACTCATATTACCTATCGTCACCAAACGTTAAGCGTGCGGACCCTACGGGTTCGAGAACTATGTAGACATGACCGAGACATGTCTCCGGTCAATAACCAATAGCGGAACCTGGATGCGCATATTGGCTCCTACATATTCTACGAAGATCTTTATCGGTCAAACTACATAACAACATACGTTGTTCCTTTTGTCATCGGTATGTTACTTGCCCGAGATTCGATCGTCGGTATCTCAATACCTAGTTCAATCTCGTTACCGGCAAGTCTCTTTACTCGTTCCATAATACATCATCCACAACTAACTCATTAGTTGCATTGCTTGCTAGGCTTATAGTGATGTGCATTGCCGAGAGGGCCCAGAGATACCTCTCCGACAATCGGAGTGACAAATCCTAATCTCGATCTATGCCAACTCAACAAGTACCATCGGAGACACCTGTAGAGCACCTTTATAATCACCCAGTTATGTTGTGACGTTTGGTAGCACACAAAGTGTTCCTCCGGTATTCGGGAGTTGCATAATCTCATAGTCATAGGAACATGTATAAGTCACGAAGAAAGCAATAGCAATATACTAAACAATCAAATGCTAAGCTAACGGAATGGGTCAAGTCAATCACATCATTCTCTAATGATGTGATCCCGTTAATCAAATGACAACTCATGTCCATGGCTAGGAAACTTAACCATATTTGATTCAACGAGCTAGTCAAGTAGAGGCATACTAGTGACGCTATGTTTGTCTATGTATTCATACATGTATTAAGTTTTCGGTTAATACAATTCTAGCATGAATAATAAACATTTATCATGATATAAGGAAATATAAATAACAACTTTATTATTGCCTCTAGGGCATATTTCCTTCAGTCTCCCACTTGCACTAGAGTCAATAATCTAGATTACACAGTAATGATTCTAACACCCATGAAGTCTTGGTGCTGATCATGTTTTGCTCGTGAGAGAGGCTTAGTCAATGGGTCTGCAACATTCAGATCCGCATGTATCTTGCAAATCTCTATGTCTCCCTCCTTGACTTGGTCGCGGATGGAATTGAAGTGTCTCTTGATGTGCTTGGTTCTCTTGTGAAATCTGGATTCCTTTGCCAAGGCAATTGCACCAGTATTGTCACAAAAGATTTTCACTGGACCTGATGCACTAGGTATGACACCTAGATCGGATATGAAATCCTTCATCCAGACTCCTTCATTTTCTGCTTCCGAAGCAGCTATGTACTCCGCTTCACACGTAGATCCCACCACGACGCTTTGCTTAGAACTGCACCAACTGATAGCTCCACCGTTCAATATAAACACGTATCCGGTTTGTGACTTAGAGTCATCCGGATCACTGTCAAAGCTTGCATTGATGTAACCATTTACGACGAGCTCTTTGTCACCTCCATAAACGAGAAACATATCCTTAGTCCTTTTCAGGTATTTTAGGATGTTCTTGACCGCTGTCCAGTGATCCATTCCTGGATTTACTTTGGTACCTCCCTGCTAAACTAATAACAAGGCACACATCACCTCTGGTACACAGCATTGCATACATGATAGAGCCTATGGCTGAGGCATAGGGAGCATCTTTCATTTTCTCTCTATCTTCTGTAGTGGTCGGGCATTGAGTCTGACTCAACTTCACACCTTGTAACACAAGCAAGAACCCTTTATTTGCTTGATCCATTTTGAACTTCTTCAAAACTTTAT